ATATATATATATATATATATATATATATATATATATTCAGTGTTATCATTCTTTAGATCCTTCAAATTTAGACCTAGTACATTTAAACCATGTGTGTCAAATTATATTGAAAAATTGAGTTTATCTATACTACCTTATAAATCAGATTTATCAAAAGTGTTAAAAACAACAACTCATAATGCATTAAAATATTACTATTTTATACATTCAATCTTAAATCTCTTAATCTACAATTAAAATAACATATAGTACAAGTTATCAATACATATTATTACTTCTTTTTTTCATGTTCCCAAGATACTTTTGACATCTTTCACTCATGTTTTCACCCTCTCATACCTCTATGTCTTCTCCTCATCCCCCAAGGTAAAATTCAACTGATATTCACCATGAGTTATTAAAAGTTCTCTCATTCAATTGCTCTAGAACTCTCCCTCTCGATCTCTTGATTCTTTACTCTTGGTGTAAATCGAACACATCTATGGAGTCGTTTAAATATGTTGAATTTTAAAAATATATGAGATTTTAAACTGTCATACAATTTTTTTCAACGATACACTGTAATTGAAACCATAACTCTTATTTATTCAAATTGTATTAACAAGTAAAGATCAAATGTAACTTATATCATCGTTAAATCTTCTCTAATAAAGCCAGTAAAACATTAAAATTCACGGCTCCCACTGCATTGCATTGGTACACAACTAGTATTCTTAATGTTGCCTTACATCTTCGAAATACGTTATGCTCGAAGGAGGGCTTCGAGTTACAAAAATCAACATGTTACCGAAATCGTCATCTTTCGAATTAAAAAACCCAAAAAGGAGACATGTTTTAAACATAGAAAAAGGGGTATTTTGGAAAAGTACTTTGATACATAGAAAGCAAGCGATGTCAACAAGTAATATAATTTAATTAAAAAAAGATTTATATATAATAATTTCATTTCATTATTCCTCTAACCTTTTCTTTCCTAAATAAAACCCAACACTCGCTAGCTAGGTTGATTTTCCAACTTTAAGACTCGACTCGTTACGATGCGAAAAAAAACACCGAACGCTTGCTTTTTCATATGAACACGATGACAAAAACTACCCCCATCTTTACACGTCGAGTTTCTTTTCATCACTAGATCTTTGTCCACGAGACCCCCTCCGGGAACTAGGGTTTGTTAACGGGTCGTATTTTTGGGAAGCAAGGTAGTTGAGAGCTGTCACGACGTCCGCAATCAAAGGTCTCATATTTGGTTGTTCTTGAACACACATTGCAGCTATTGCTAATGCTTGGTATAGTCCTCTCACCGGATATTCACCTTCTAGCACCGGATCCGCCATATGGGCGAACTTCCGTCTGTCTTTAAACAACGGCCGTGCCTAACAAAAAAGCATCCGTCTTTTGTCAATTCATTAGTTTTCTTCGTCATTCAGGTCAAACCAAACAAACTCAAAATATCTCAACCAAAGGAAAGTCTGAGGTAAAATGTATACAGACCTTACCTATGTCCCACATGAGGTAGAACTTGTTTCTAGTTTTCTTGATTATTCAATATGCAAATATTCATGGGAATGTTAGGAGTTGTTTGACAGTTGTTAAATGGTTTGATGCAGAATGATTAAGAGGCTTGCAAAATGAAATATAATTGTTCGGTAATTGTTTACAATGGAATTAGTGCACTGAATGGTTAAGGGACGCCAAGTATACAAAATCATTCAGAGCGTTTTAGAACCATTAAGAGATAGACTTTTTTTTTTCCAAACAAGAKTCACCTCTTAATGATTCAGATGTTGCCTCTTAATTGAACTATTAAGAGGTAAATAAACAACCCCTTAGACCGAAGGCATCCTTTTGATTGAATTTTTTTTTCTAAATACATGATCTTCTAACAAATCCAGTTACTCCGTTACCCAAACAATATGCGAATACAACTTCTAACAAAGTAGATATGATCATGGACTCGAACTTCTAATAACACTGAGCAAAAAAAACACGCACTACAATAAAAAATTTGTTTTATAGGACGTCAAATACATCAAAATAAAGTGTGCTATAAAACAGTCTATTAGAACGTTGATAGGATATTTTGGGCGATCTAGCAAGTTTTTTAGGACACTTTATGCAGTCTATTAGAACATTTAGTACATATTATAAAGCCAATTTTCCTGTGGGGATGTTAGGCCATGATAGCACCCAAAAAAAACAGGAACAAGGCATCAGATACTTGATAAATGTGGCCCCAAAAACCTCAGAAATTTGAGAGTGAAATATTTGGACTGTAGATCACTCCCTCAAAAGCAATACATCATTAAAGGAGATTCCCAGCATATAAAGATCATGGAAAAGAACTTTATATCTTCTTTCCAAACTTATTACTGTTCAAATTCAAAAGTTCCATTTGATATCTTTGTTTTGATTCAAGTAATTATCGATTCGTTAAGTTAAAAGCCGATCTCTTCGATTCTAAAAAGTCAAAAGCGAACTCTAACGGTAGTATTTGCATAGCATATAGGCATCTTTAGACAATGACTAGAGGTTAGTAAACAGCCTTTTGAAGTCTAAAAAGGAGTAAAAGAATCATATGTAAGTAACTTACCCAAGCAACGAGGTTTTGCTCTGCTGCGGGTCTCGTATTATCGATCGCTTTTCTACCGGTAATCAGCTCCAAAAGTACAACCCCGAAGCTGTAAATGTCCGATTTGAAGGTGAGTTGGCCAGTCATTGCATAATCAGGAGCACAGTAGCCGTAAGTGCCCATCACTCTGGTTGAGACGTGAGTCTTGTCTCCAAGCGGGCCCACCTTTGCCAAGCCGAAATCTGACAGCTTGGCATGATAATCCTCACCTAACAAAATGTTGGAGCCCTTTAGGTCACGATATATTACAGGTGGGTTCATCTTGTCGTGCAAATACTCCAAACCCCTTGCTGCTCCAGCCGCTATTTTCATCCGAGTGTTCCAATCAAGCCGTTTCCTGTGGGCACGATGATCTGCCACAGAAAATGCAAACATTTCAACATAAATTAAACGAACCAAATGCTTTTATCATTGAAAAAGTCAACATTAGCAACTTTACTTTCGAAATTTTTGACGATAATTAGAGCTCCACAACTCACCCCCCAAAACCAACCAAAACCAAACCAAACCAAACTGACCCAGTATATTCCACTAGGGTCTGGGGGGTGGGATTTACTCATACTTGAACCTCTACCTCAAATGGGCGAGCGATTGTTTCCATGAATAACCCAACTTGTGCAAGAGTTTAAGCAAACAAGCAGAAGGAACAAGAAAACATAGATCAAGAAAAATAAGAAAGAAAAAGTGATCGTCTCCCTCTATTCTCTATTACGCTGTACATTGACTTTGGACATAAAACAAACTACTTTCAATTTAAAAAAGTACAAGATCAAACCAAACAAACCCAGTATATCCCACTAGGAGCACGAAGATGGGATGTACGCAAACCTGACCTCTCCCCCAAAGGGTAGGGCAGTTGTTAGTTGTTACAGTGAAGACCCTCGGCTTGTGCAAAGTACAAGAACAGACGCAAAAATTGGTGTGCAAGTGTTGTAGAATATATATAACAGTTACAGATTTAGTTAAAGCAAACTTGAGATCCAATAGAGCATTTAAACTTATGATTAACGGATTTGCACTTCAGGAAACTAGCAAGTAGTTCAGCGCTTGCATAATAGCATACGCGAAGACTCGATCAATGTGTCGAGAAACAATTTTAAGAATTGAAGAAATAAAGAAAGATATCGAAGAGGGAATAAGCCAATACCATGCAAATGGTCTTCTAAAGAACCTAAGGACATGTATTCATAGACCAGTAATCTTTGCTCTCCTTCAGCACAATAGCCAATCAATTTCACAAGATTTGGATGATCAGCCATGCTTAACGTCAAAACTTCAACAACAAATTCCCTAATCCCTTGCAACCCATCGGGATCTAGTTGCTTTATAGCAACAATCTGCAATGTAAAGCACAAGAAACACGATCAAGATTCCAAATTTGTGCTCATCATGAATGTTAATGACCCGGATCCACTACAAAATCAAGTTTATAGGACACCAAAAATGTCTAAATGTCCTAATAGACTGCTTCACAGGACTTAAGTTTATATAACCAAACAATTATGCATCTTAAGTAAAAGTGTTGCAATAAAGTTTATACCACGTTTTTAGGCGTCTTAACAAGTTTTTTAAACACTTTAGAATCTTTTTACAGGGCACGTGTATTACTATGTTCGTGTGGGATTTATTGGGTTCGTTTAGTTTGGTTCCATGAATCGTTAAATGAAACACCATGTGCATTTGGTTTCATTTTGGAGAGCATTTACGGGTATGCTCTCTTTTAATTATGCAATTACTTAGATTTGTGATAACTTTTATCTTCAATTGAGGTGTTTTCTACTCAAAATACATCAACAGATTTCAACCAACCTGATCAGAATCTTCCAATTTTCCTTTAAAAACTTTGCCGAATCCACCCTCTCCCAAGAAATACGCAGCCTTGAAATTATCAGTCGCACTCACCAACTGCGCGTACGTAAATGTTCTTGCTTTATTTATCGGACCTCCCTCTCCGGAGGTCTTACTCTTTTCACCAAACTCGACAACCGATGGTTGAATAGCATCCTGCACATTTTCCTTCTTCACTTTCACTTCGTTACATGGGTCGACTTTTTTCGTATCTAAATCATATAAACCAACAAATTTCAATCAAAAGTACACAAGAAGACAATTCAAGCACAAAAAGATAAAACTTCATCATGATCCTGGGAAAAGAAGGGGATATAACAATTCCCAAAATTTCAAATGATAACAAAGATTCCATTTTCAATACACCAATCAATATTCAAAAAAATCCCATGATTTATTTCCAATGATCCGATTCAAATTTTTGATGAACTAAGGTGTTTGAAGAAGAGATTTAGGTGATTTCTAAGTACAAATTGATATGAACTCAAGAGGTTTTTAAAGAAGGAATCAGTGATTAGACGATTACAGGTTTAAGATCAAAAGTTCTATAAGCTCTCTATCAATTGATGAGGTCACTGATGACGATAGAAATCAGCTAGAAATTTTCAACTACAAATTAAACCCAAATGAGCCCCAATGGATAGAAGAAATAATTTTAAATTGAACACAAAAAAGTTATATCCAATCTCTTTATCAACCCAATTTAACATCATCAGACAACAATGAAAACAACACAATCATCCTGATCAACGACTTCCACCATTGAAGATCGGTGTTTAAGAATTCGTAACTCAAAATCCAAAAAGGGGGTTAGAAACTTAGAACACGCAAATCCCCAAATAGAATTTAACGGCATGCAATAATCAAAAACCCAATCTCGAAACGAAAAAGGAAGATTATAAGCGAAACTTTCTGTGCATAATTTCGCCCAAAAAAGCGATGGAAGTTCTTTTACAGCTTCGAGTCATCTTCCATGAAGATGAAATTCTTAACAAAAGAAACCAAATCCGTTAAACATACCAGAAGTTTTTGTGTTTGATTGATCGTTGTGGGTGTTGTTTTCAATTCTCTTGTTCTTCGATGATCTTTTGGTAGAAGAATCTCCCCCAGCGCAAGGGAAACAACCCATGCCTATTTCTTTCCCTCTATATATCTATACACTTGTTGATTGTTCTATAAAAATCATAACAACAGAAATCACTTTTCAAATAAATTATGAATCCTTCATCTTCTTCTTGGTCCCTGCTACAGAAACCCCAGAACATAACCCAATCAATATTAACACCAGAGAGAGAGAGAGAGTTTATTGCAGGTTTATAGAGAGAGAAAGAAGGGAACCGAAAGGAATTATATATTTCCTTTGGGCATGATTCATTTAAACCCCTTTTAAGTTTAAGAAAATACAAAGAGCTCCTTGAATTATTACAAAAGTGGAAGGCTTACCCTCTTACTATTTTGAATTGTCATTTTCAACCATTACAAGCTAAAAAGGAAAATGGAAATCTGATTCTCTCTCTTTTGCAAATAATTACATAAAGTTTTACTTAGGGGTTGTTTACTAAATGTTTACCCGGTAAGTACTTATTGGGCAATTTTCCTTACCGGATGAACATGGCAACGGGCAAGAATCTTACCCGGTAAGAGCGATGATAAGAATGGAGAGTCTTACCCAGTAAGTGAGGGTGACGACTCTTACCCGGGTAAACGCTTACCAGATAAATTGTTGCATAAGATACGTTTTGATGTACTACAATCTTACCCGATAAAATAAATTATAGTGTTGACTATTAACGGTAAACGCTTATAGGGTAAGTATTTAAGTAAACGGCCCCTTAGATGAAGTTAAAATGAATCAAACCACTACTTTGGATCATGTATTTGCATAAACTTCAGTTAAATACGTTATATTGTTTTTGATGACTTTTATGAAATAGTCAATTTGGGTTGTCGAGCTTTTGACTATGTTTTGACTTAAATGAGTATTGGGGACATATGTCCGATTTAAATTATTTTATGTCGAGCTTTTGAAATCATATGCAATTATGGCATAATTATACAATATACTATACACTTTGAGTGCGTTAGTCATTCAGTTGGAGTCGTGTAATTTTATGGCTAGAATGCAATGGTCCATGGGCATATAAGTCGGTTTTAAGGAGTACATAAGGAATGGGATTCTCAAGTCATAACTTGGAAATAGGCATTGTGATCATTATGTAATTTTCAAGTGAACATGTTTAATGTGGGTTTCCTTTTGTTTCTGTTGGAAATAAGCATTGTGATTATTATGTAATTTTCAATTCATTTCTTACTGTAATTTGGAAATAGACATTGTGATTATTACATAATCTCTAAGTGAATGAGTTTAACATGGTTTTCCTTTTGTTTTTATTGAGAGTAGGCATTGTAATTGTTATGTAATTTCCAATTCATCTCTTACCGTAGCTTGGAAATAGGCATTATGATTATTATGTAACTTTCGAGCAAATGAGTTTTCGATCACAATGGACTTCATGACTAGCTTGGGTTAATGTCAATGGTTTTATATGTAAAGTGATGCAGCTAGTAATATTAGTGTGTGACTTACTTATGTATTCCGTCACAACGAATGGTAAATCGAGTCTCTCCCGTTATAGTCGGATAATTTGTACCCTTCCAAGGGCATGCATGAGTTAATTGTTTTTAAGACTTGATTAAAGCTAGGGTTATTTATAAAAATAACCGGTTACACAAACTTTTGCCACAAAATAACCATATTTTAGAGGTTTTGCCAAAATAACGACCCGGGATCGCCCCCATTGTGTACGGATCGCCCCCAGGGGCGATCCGGGTTGTTATTTTGGTAAAACCTCTAAAATGTGGTTATTTTGTGGCAAAAGGTTGTGTAAACCGGTTATTTTTATAAATAACCCTTAAAGTTATATTTTACGTTTTAATGTTTTATAGCTTTATTTTTGGTTGTGTGACTGTTGAGTTTTGGTTGCATGTAATTAGATATTTATTAACGAGATTTCATCAAAAAAAATAGTGGGTTTTCATAAATATGTTTCTTTTACAATAAATATATTTCAATTACAAAATTATAAATTAAATCAGCAATCTTTCAGTTTTACCATCTTATAATTATGATGAAAATTGTTTGAACTCACTAGTTATTAAGCCTAACTTTTTTTCTTTGTCGGCATGTGCATCAGGTCCATGAGAAAATAATGCTAGCGACATTGTGATGAGATGAGTGCTAGATAGTTGCACGAGAAGGTTATAGCTTATCGTCGATGTCTTCCACCTTTATGGATAGCGACAATTATTGAGTTATAGTAACACCTGACCTTATTTTAGTCTTTGTGTAAGGCTTTGTTTATCTTTTTGTTGATTGATAATTTTATATCTGATATTCAAGGTAATTCAAGTATTGATTAATAATTTACCCTTTATTTATTGTATTAATACAATTTTAATTTAATCGTTATTTATAAATTTGAGGGTGTTACAAAATACTTACAAAACTTTATAAATCTCCATTTACTAAAAGTATTAAAGTTCTCCTTTATTGTTTAAAATTATTTATTATTTATATGATTTATTATATAAAATTATTTTTTATTTAAAATCTTTATTATTATATTATTAAATAATATAATGAAATATTGCTACCAATTTCTTTCCCTCAACCATTAAATTACATTCTTAAGTGATAACCTTTAATTTACTTAAAATACATTTATCCATTTTAACAATCAATACTATATTTGCAAACATTGTTTTCAATAAAAGATATAACATTAATTTACTAAACAATGTAAAAAACATATAGAGTAAGGGATTGTTAGGCAGCTACTGAATGTTTTGGTGCAACATAATTAAATGGTCAGAATAATTAAGAGACTCTTATGATATAATGTAAAATTAAATATGGTCGTTTGGTAATTTTTCATAATAAAATTAGGGGACTGAATGGTTTAAAAAGACTCAAGATACAAAATTATTTAGAGGGTTTTAGAATCATTAAGAAACATACTTATTTTTGTCAAACAAGATTCAACTATTGGCAATTCAGTGGTTGTCATTAGTGGAACTATTAAGAGGTAAATAAACAGCCCCTAAATTACAAATTTGGTCTTTGTGGTTTACACTTTTTACCCATACTGGTTCAAAATTAAAATAAATATAAATGTGGGACTCGTGGTTTACATTTTGGCACTTTTTGAGTCCCTCTCTCTAATAAAACAAAAAAAATTCTATTAATTGAGCTAAACTTGGGGTATTTTAGTCTTTTTATTCTTAATTTTGTGTTTATCTTATTAAAAATAAGAAACAAATTACATATACACACATGCTAAATAAACCAAGGGACCACCCTCACCATCCCCGTATCCTCGATCACCACTCTACCAACCCCTCTTCCACTCTACTTCGCCCCTGCTTTTACCGATCTCTACCACCCTTGGAAACAACCATCTCCTTAGTCCCCCCTCCATCGACCATCATTCTTCCTAACTATGACCTTCTTCAACCCCTCCATTGTTGCAATCGGCCACCACCATCACCACTACAACACCCATCGATCTTCCCCTCTCCTACGACATCACGATTTCATCAAGTCAAACGAAGGGTGTCTCTCTTGCTCCAGATACACTTTTTGGTCTCTGGTCTCTCATCAATCTTCTATTTCTCCCTCATTGATTTCTGATTCATAGAGTTTATTTAATTTTTTGTTTAGATTTTTATTAGGTTTGATTTACGTTTCAGGATTTTAAGGTCTTGAGTTTAGGGTTTGCACCACAATTTTTTTGAATTAGTCTAAAGAAATATTGTTGATGTTCTCAGGAATTTATAGTTTCTGATTTATATATATATATATATATATTTTTAATGTATTATGTAGGCAGGAAACTTTCTTGTATTGTGTTGTGTTTGAACTGAATGTTTGACAAATGGAGCTTCGCCAGCGAGTTCCTACTTTTATTCTTGGCGGGTTGAAATAGAGCTCTTGGAAAAGTCCACAAGAGTTGCCTTATGCTTTGATTCTTAGTGGGTGTAATGTCATTATAAGAAATTGTAAATTCTTTTTTGGTTTCGATTTCAAGATGGATCAAGAAAGATGACAGTGGTAATGAGAAAGTTTTAGGTGGTGGGTGGGTGGTCGGCGGTAGGAGAGGCCGTTGTTAGGGTTGATTCTGGGGAGGGGGTCATTGTTTTGTATGTATATTATATATACATATATAAATAAATAAGGTTGACAAGTTTTATTATTTTTGTTAGCAGATCACATTCTATCTTTATAATATATTGTTATTAGACTTAGTTTATTAGTTCGTATAACGTTTGGTCCGTGGCCCATCTGTTGTATATTTAAATTATTGTATTTTGTTTAATCAATGAAGGAAATCATTATTCCTAATCTCTAATATGGTAAAGACAAAAAGAGGTTAAGAGGACAAAAATAACCGTGATAATATAACTTTTTTAATTTTATTTGAGGGAGGGACTCAAAGAATGCAAAAATCTAAACCATGAGTTCCTTCCTTTTATTTATTTTTATTTTGGGATAAGAGTGGTAAAAAGTGTAAACCATAGGGACCAAATATGTAATTTACTCAAACACAAAAGACTAAGGTGATAGGTGAAGGAGCCAAACGGTCTGTACAAAATGTCAGGGGGCACATTTTGGCATAATAAGGTAACTTAAAGGGGTAAACTAGCGTTTACTCTAAGATATCGGGTGGGATTTTTTGGTGTAATTTGGCAGAAAATAACATTTACAGGTAACCAATATTTGCTTGCCACGTCATCGTATTTAGAAATGTTGGTCAAATCCGTTGACTCTCCTTACCAAACAGTCCTCCACGTACGCGTATTTGTTGGGAAAGACTTACCTCTGGCTCTGACGAGGCGCGTGTGGATAGCCGTGCAATAAAACTACTATGCACCTATATCCAGTAGATTTCGTCCCGCTATAATATTATGTCATTATAAACAAAATATATTTTGATTTTAATGTTATATTTTATTTATTTTGTTATAATTAATATTATAATATGATTTTATTTGATTTTAAAAAAATAAAATTGTTTTTAGT